ACTTGACCAGGTTCTCAAAGTGAAAATGGAGAAAAATGCCCCCTTGCTTCCAGCAGGGAGAGGGGAAAAATATCCAATCAAAAATATGCCAGAGCTTGCTGCTAAACAAGGTCTGTCCTCAAGACTCTATTTTACCAGAGCCTAAACTACTGGGGTTTTTGCAGAGCCTAACCAGCCTGGGGGAAGGAAATACCCAACTTCAGCCCACTCTGGCCATCCTGTCCCACCTGAAGGAGAAAGGGACCAAGAGGCACTCGTGAAGTTCACAGTGCAGAGGCACAGGCTCACTAAAACACTGAGAGCTAATCAAAGGACTGTAGCATGCTTTCTCCCCCCGAGCCCCACCTCTTACCACCAATTATTAGAGACCTATTTAAAGTTTATTTTACCCAGCACATCGTGTCCACCTATCAAGAACAATTATAAGTAAAAGGCAAAAACAAAACAAAAGAAACCCCCAAACAAACAAACAAACAAAAAAACAAACCTAAAAAACCACACAGTTTGAAGAGACCAGACTCAGATATAGTAGGGATATTTGAATGCTCAGACTGGGAATTTAAAACAACTGTGTGATGTCCAAGGGCAGGAGATAGACGTCCCAGCTCAAGATTAGTGAAAGAGACTTCATTCTTCTTCTACTTTTTTTTTTTTTTTTTAAATTCTCTTTGAGCCCTCAATGGATGGAATGATGCCCACTCACACTGGTGAGGGAAGATCTTCTTTACTCGGTCTACTGATTCAGATGCTAATTTCTCTTGGAGACACCCTCACAGATACACTCAAGAAATAATGTTTTATCAGCTAGTTGGGCATCCCTTAGCACGGTCAAGTTGACACAAAATTCAACATGACAAGTCCACTCCTTGTCAACTTGATCTTTACATGCATCTCCTCAAATATACTTAATCTCCAAATAGAGATATAAGTGTGCCTAATATGGCATAACTACCCTGGGTATGACTGGAAATGTACTAGTCCCTTTCCTGGAAGAGATAAAGTCCTTCAATGATGTTTACTCTTTTAATATCCCATACCTTGAAAACTAGGATGTAAAATTAATAATACTTAAATACTGATATAACATCAGTATGTCTTCTGTTACATGAAAAGGGAATAAAAGAAGAAAAATAAGATATTTGCTTAATATGTGCATATGTACACAAGTGTATTCATAACAAAATGAGGAAATACTCATGACAGTTACAGTCCTCAGTTCTGTAAGTGGTCATGTGGTTGTAACTGCTCTAAACTACCTTTTCCTACTACCCGTTCTGGGTTCCCTTTGCCTTTAACAAATACCTCACCTGGTAATTTTTCTTTACCTTGTGGGATGACCGAAACCATTCCTGAAGGTTCTGGGCCATTACTAATCCTGCCTGGATTGGGATGTTGTAATGTTCCATTGACCTTAATCACAGGGCATAGTAATATATGAGATGCCATCTTAGAACTACTAGATGGAATCTCCTGTGTTGCAGACAGGTGTTTTCTTACCTCTGCTGCAGAGTGGTGGTTCAGTTTCCCCTTAGTAGTCAGGCTCCGTCATAGGAACTCCTTTTCCTTGATTCAGGGCATGAGGAGCCCAAAGAGGCCAGCTGGCAGTCTTCACTTCCAGTTCAGTGGAATCGTTGTAGTATCTCCTGGGCGAAGCCTTCCTCCCTCTGGAACTAAGACCTCTAGGCCAGTAGAGAATCAAGTTATGGGAACAGGAAGCAAAAATTGTGCTGGTAGGTCACTAGTAGTGAGTGGTACTACTTATATTTCCACCCCTTGATGTCTAGACTTGTGAATCCTGGCTATTGGAGGAATAACACCATATTTTGGATGCTGATCCAGAGTATATACAGCCTTCTGTAGAACTCAAGCCTTACAAAGTATCGCTCCCTAGCAGGCACTGTAACTGTCTGCAAAAGACCATTCCACCATTCTATCAAGCCAGCTGCTTCAGTACGGCGGGGAACATGGTAAGACCAGGGAATTCCATGAGCATGGGCTCATTACTGTACTTTGGCTGTGAAGTGAGTTCCTTGGTCCAGAGCAATGTCATGTGGAATACCATGATGGTGGGTGAGGCATTCTGTAGGTTTATGGATGGTAGTTTTGGTAGAAGCATTGCATGCAGGGAAGGCAAATTTATATCCAGAGTAGATATCGATTCCACTTAAGGACAAAATGCTGCCTTTTCCATGAAGAAAATGGTTCAATGTAATCAGCTTGCTACCAGGTAGCTGGCTAATCACCCCAGGTAATGGTGCCAAATCAGGGGCTCAGTGTTGCTGTCTCCTGGCTGATTGGCTACTCAGCCATGGCTTTGACAAGTAGAAGTCCTTGTTGTCAAGCTCACTCCTGGTATCAAAATCGTATTAGTCAGGGTTCTCCAGAGAAATATAACCAATAGGAGTGAGGGGACTACTGGTAAGTCTCAGAATCCAAAGGCCCAAGAACCAGGAGCTTCAATATTTGAGGGCAGAAGATGGATTTCCAGCTCAAGAAGAAAATTCGCCTTCCTTTGCCTTTTTTTTTTGAACTTGGTGAGGAAAGCTCTTTACTCGGTATACTGATTCAGTTATTCATCTCTTCCAGAAATACCCAGAAATTGTTTTAGCAGCTGTCTGGGCATCCCTTAGCCCAGTCTAGTTGACATTTAAAATTAACCATCACAAATGCTGTATGTGGACAAGGTTGTATGGGAAAGCTCTGTACCTACCACTCAGTTTTTCTGTGAATGCAGAACTGCCTTAAAAAATAAAGTTTAAAGAAATCAAACACCTGAGCAAAGACATTAACATTCAGACAACATAGGAGGAGAAAGACTCTGTTGTTTAAGTCTAGGCAATTCACTAAAACAAAACAAACAAAACAAAAAACAAAAACTCACAAAAATATATCAGAATCTGTAGTTGTTACTATATAATGTCTAAAATGTACAGTTTTCAACAAAAGAGAAACATACAAAGAAACAACCCATGGCTTGTACTCAGAAAAAGAGTAGTCAATAGATATTGATGCTAAGTAGGCTACATGTTGGATTTAGCAAAGACTTCAGAGCACCTATCATAAATATCTTCAAAGGATTAAAGGAAACCGTCCAAAGAATTAAAAGAAAATACAATGAAAATAGGAACTCTCAATAGAGAAATATAAACTAAGAAAAAAACAGCCAAATGGAAATTCTAGAGTTGTAATATACAGTAACTGAATGAAAATTCATTAAATGGTTTCAACATCAGATTCAAGATGTCAGAGGAGAGAATGAGATCGCTCAAAGGTACGGCACTAGAGATGATCTCCAAAGAGCAGAGAAAAAAGGTATTGAAGAAAAATGAACAAAGCATAAGAGATCTGTGGGACAACGCCTGGTGTATCAACATACATGTAATAGGAGCTCCAGAAGGGCAGAAGACAGAATGAGGCAGCAAATTATCTAAAGAACTAATGGCCCCGAATTTCCCAAGGTGGTTATCTACAGATCCAGAATTCTCAATGCCAAGTAAGACAAGCACAAAGAGAACCACAAACAGGCACATAGTCAAATTGCTGAATGACAAAAAGAAAATCTTGAAAGCAGCAGTGGAAAAACAGCTTTGTACAGGGAAACAACAATATGATTAATGGCTGATTTTTCATCAGAATAACAGAGGCTAGAAGGTAGTGGAAAAACATACTCAAGATATTGGAATAAAATTCAACTCAGAACTGTATATTCAGGAAAACGACCCTTTGAAAATGAAGGTGAGGTGCGCCTGACTGGGTCAGTCGGAAGAGCATGCGACTCTTGATCTCGGAGTTGTCAGTTCAAGCCCCACATGGGTGTAGAGATTGCCTAAATAAATAATACTTTAAAAAAAAGAAAAGAAAATGAAGGTGAGATCGACATTCCCTGATAAACAAGATTTGTTGGTAGCAGTCTTGACCTAAAATAAATACTGAAGGAAGCCCTTGGGCTGAAGGAAAATGGGAGCACATGGTAACTCAAATCCACAGAAAGGAATGAAGAGAATTGGAACTGGTATGTGGATAATAGACTGTATACACATTCATCAACTTGTGAATGGTAAACAAAATGTGTATCTACTCAGCAGAGGGAGGAATAAAGTACTAATTCATGCAAGAACATAGATGAATCTCAAAAACAGCATGATGCATTTTGAAAGAATCACAAAAGACTACATGTTGTATGAATCCAATTATATGAAATTTCTAGAAGAGGCAAAAACAGAGATAGAACAAAGATCAGTGATTGCCTGAGACAGGATGAGAATAGGCATTGCTTGCAACCAGCCATGAAGAAACATTTTGGGGTGATGGATATCTTCTAAGACTGGATCTTGATCATGATTACATAACTATAAATTTACTAAAACTTTATCAGACTGTGTAATTACAATAGTTGAATGTTACAACAATAGCTGAATTATACTGTAATACAGTGGTAAAAAATGTTAATAGTGCCTGTTTCTGAGTAGTGTGCGTGGAGATAATTGTTCCTTTCTTTTTGCTTCTATTGCATTTTCTAGACTGATTACATAAACATCTATTATGTTTGGAATAAAAGACAAAAGTAAATTTTTAAATAACAACAACTATATTTAAAATACTTTTGAAACAAAAACTCTCCCTCTACACGCACGCACACACACACTCCCCTAGCAGGAATCCCAGTAAACAATACTCTCTATCAGAGTTTAATTTAGGTAAGTATATAGTCTTTCATTGCCCTTGGGAGTTTAATATGGTAGGTATTTGGGGGTCTTAGGACAGGCTGTTCAGGCATGGCTTTCTTTTCCTACAGAAAAATCCATACCTTTCATCAACAGAATAAAATTACATCAACTGATGCCATCAAATTATATCTCAGACTTTTTGAGGGTCCTTATGAGACCTAGAATGAGAACAGGCAATGACTTTAAGTATGAAATGTCTAATTGAGCCAAAGCTGTATTAGCTACTTGTAAAGGCTAGCGGCCTGCCTTAAATGTTCCCCCTTTTTTTTGCAGATGCCGTTGAGATATATTTTATAAAAAGTATCAATGCGTATCAAGCAACATTGGGCCCAACGGATTATGAAACACTGACAACCATTGAAGAATTCTGCAAATGGCTTGTCCAAAACGGGGAAAAACAGGTAAATCTGAGCAGGTAAATCAACAAGAGGCAGTGTGATCTTGGGCAAGATCCATTCCTCCATCTGTAAAATAAATATAATAATAGTTCCTCTCTCAGAGAGTAGTCATGCATGAATTAACTATTATTATTAAACATAAGCTTGGAATGTTACCTCTTCACAGAAACACCTTACTTAGGTGACATGTCACAACTGCCTGATCCAGGTGGGTTACGTCAGTGTGACGTAGAACACCCTCTCCATAGAGTTAATGGATTAGAACTGGAATACTCCTTCAGGATTGCCCAGATGATTATAAAACACTTTTCTTTAATTCCCTAGGAGGCTTACAGACTGCTAAAGGCCGCCCTGAGGTCTCAGGTCATCAGTTATGGTGACTGTAGTGAAAAGGTGGCTGAAACTTTTAACAACATGGGCAGGATCTGCTTTGCCAAAGGAGAGCTCAGGAAGGCAATTCAGCTGTTAAGGAAGGTGAATGCTGGCTGCTTTTTACATTTTCTCCCAGGCCTGTAAGCACAATGTGAGGAGTGATGTGTGTGGGTGTGTGTGTGTGTGTGTGTGTGTGTGTGTTTATTTTCCCTTTCTTTCCCACCCCTCCCCTCCTTTCTGCTTCCTTTCACCTCTCGCTTTCTTTTCTTCCTTCTTCTTTTTTCCTTCCTTCTCTATTCCTTTTTATTTTTTAAGTAAAGCAAAAATTCACTTTTTTAGATGTGCTAAAGGAGAACATGATACAGAAACTTTTGTTGTGTGAATGCCTGGACCAGAGTCTTAAAAGAGTAACACCTCAGTGTTAGAATCTAGGTCTGGCAGTGGCTGAATATCAGGAAAGCACCCAAGGTTGGGAGGAATCAGGAACGCCTTTTATAAACCATTCTTACCCAAGTACCGATTCCTCTTCCAGGGTGCTCAGAGGACACTGGATGTTCATATCTTGCAGTAGGATCTGGCAAGAGTTGTGACCAAACAGTTGTTCAGCTAGTCAGCATACTGACAGGCCTAGGCTAAAGACATGACAGGATCAGTAGGGATGTCTCTACATAAAATCTAAATTTGTTCGAGGTCAGAGGAAGAGTTGGTAAAGACCAATCAGTACTCATGTGAGCGGAGCGGAGTCCCAAGCAATCTGTACATGTACATTGGCAAACATCATGTCTGGAGAGATTTTTATCTCATTTCAGGTTAACTAAACAGAATCAGAGAATAAGTTATGAAGACAGTGAATAACAGGAGAAAGGGGGCCTCATTTTGAAGATTCTGAGAAAAAGAAAACCTTAAGAAAATAAGTTGCAGGGATCAGAAGAGTGTCTTCGAGGGGAGCATGCATATGGGGAGGGGCCAGAGAAACCTGTACGGAGAGGAAACTGTACAATGAGAGGATGACAGTCTGAGGCCAAAAGATGAGATGAGATTTAAGAGTGAAATAAGGGATTTCAAGGAAACAACAAATCCAGTAGAATTCAAATCTACATGGAAAATAGGGAAGACTGTCTTAACATGTCGCAGTGATGGTGAGATTTCCCAAATCTAAAATTGCAGCGGTGTCAATAAAAATCAAAACAAAAATGAAACAGAGTAACAAAAGACAGAGTCCTGAGCCTCACCGCAAACCTTGAAATCACAAGTTCTAAGAGGTGTGTCTCGATTCTGTATTTTTAATACTTCTAGAGAAGTCATATCCTGCCTGTTTAAAGGATCAGAGATTTATATGATGGACTCGAAAATCTGTCCTAGAATGCAGAGAGGGGAGAGAGAGAGATAATGAGAAAGTTGCTATGGAGGGCAGAGTAGAGATTCACCTAAAGAACGATAATACTTGGAAGAGAAACAGTAATCAAAGAAATCATTGAAAACAACTTTTCTGAAAACAAACAAACAAACAAACCAACAAACCCGCCCCAGCATACATGTTATAAGGGCTTACCATATTCTACACAAGACGAAAGGAGAGCCTGTTCTAGATTTTACTTGCTAGTGGCTGTCTGAAGCCATAGCCACATCCTCCATTTGGAATAGAGAGTCAACTTGGAGATTTAGGATTCTGTAAGGTAGGTGGGGGCTGCATCTTGGTTATCAGCTTTTATCCTGAGGGCTTTAGGCCCTACTTCAGTGTCCCAGCCCAGAAAGGCGGGGAGGTGTAGAAGGGCATGCTGACAGTACAGCTCTTGTTTTGAGCTTTGAACTCCTTCCTCATGCTGGGGATCTGCTATGAGTGGGATGCTGGCCATGAGGTTTCTGAATTAGCCGATGTTAATAGATGCTGTTCTGGGGGTTGGCAACTACTCCTGGAGCTAAAACGAAGGTGAGAGACCTCAGCAAAAGTTGATGGCTGTGAGGAAACCCCTTTGGCAGACAGAATAGAGCATAAAGAGGGTGACACTTTGGGCTGACTTTTTTCGTGGGCAGTCCAATGTTCATGTAAAAGGAATCGAAGTTAAATGCGGTAGGGTGGAGGTGAGAAGATAAAGAAAAGACAAACCTTAAAAATTATAACCTTGTGATGGAATAATTTTTATTTGCATACAATAAACTGCACACATTTTGAGGTGCACAGTTTGATCAGTTTTGATATCTTGACCTGTGAAACCGTTGCCACAATCAAGATCATGAATATATCAGTCACCCCCAAAAGTTTCCCCAGTCCCCTTTGTAATTAATCAATCCCACCCCTCCCCCACCCCACCCCCACCCCCAGGCAATAATTGGTTTGCTTTGTCACTAAAGATACATTAGCATTTTCAAAAATTTTATATAAGTAGAATCCTATAGTTACACATTTTTGAATCATTCTTTCAGCATAATTATTTTGGGACTTATCCATATTATTTTGTGTATCATGGTTTACTTTTATTGCTGAATATTACATTACATGGACAACATGATTTTTTTTATCCATTCATCTGATGATGAACATTTGACTGTTTGCAGTTTGGGTTTATCATTGATAAAGCTGCTGTGAATGTTCATGCGCAAGTCTTTGTATGGATATATACTTTCTTCTCTTGGGTCAATCCTTAGGAGTGAAATGGGAGCACTATGTAATACGATAGGTGTATGTTTACCTTTATAAGAAACTGCCAAAATTTTGGAGAATGGTCGCATCATGTTCTATATTCCCACCAGCAGGGTCTGAAAATTCAGTTCTTCCACATCCTTGCCAGTAGCTGGTGTGGCCAGGGCTTTTCATTGTAGCCACTCTAATAGGTATGTAGCGGTATCTCATTGTATGTGGTTTTTAAGACTGACTTCCTTCCTTCCTTCCCTCCCTTCCTTCATTCCTGTCTTTCTTTCTTTCTTTTAGAGAGAGAGAGAGAGATCACGAGTGGGGGGAGGGGCAGAGAGAGAGAAAGAGAGAATTACAAGCAGACTCCCCGCTGAGTGTGGAGTCCAGACAGGGCTCAGTATCACAACCCATGAGGTCATGACCTGAACTAAAATCACAAGTCGGATGCTCAACCTCCTGAGCCACCCAAGCACCCCTCATTGTGGTTTTCATTTGTGTTTATCTTGAGCATCTTTCCTTGTCCTTATTTCTCATTTTATCTTCTTAGGTGAAGTGTTGATCCAAATCTTTTGCTCATTTTTCATTAGTTGTTTGCTTTCTTATGATTCTTTTAAAAGTTCTTCATATATCCTAACCATGGTGTATATGGTGCCTGTAGACTTGTATATGACTCCTTTAGGATAATTGTAAAGTTGCTGGTGTACAATTGTTGGGTGTTTGTATAAATACATGTTCCTAGTTCATGCCATAAATGATGCTATAAAGTGAAAAAAAAATGAAAGTTCTTCATATATTCTAGATATAGGTTCTTTATTTTTTTAAAAAAGATTTTATTTACTTATTTGACAGAGAGAGAAAGCATAAGCAGGGGGAGCAGCAGAAGGGGAGGGAGAAGCAGGCTCCCAAGGAGCAGGGAGCCCGACGCGGGGCTCCATCCCAGGACCTGGGATGATGACCTGAGCTGAAGGCAGACGCTTAACCAGCTGAGCCACCCAGGTGCCTCTAGATACAAGCTCTTTAACAGATATATGATTTGGAAGTATTCTCTCTTGGTCTGCAGTTTGCCTTTTCATTTTCTTAACAAATGTCTTGTGAAGAGCAGAAGTTTTAAAATTTAATGAAGTCCAGTTTATCAATTTGTTCTTTTATGGATTGTGCTTTTGATGTTTTATCTAAGAAATCTTTGCCTAACCAAAGCCACAAAGATTTTTCTCTTGTGTTTTCTTCTAGATTTTTTGTAGTTTTAGGTTTAACATTTGGGTCTAGATCCACTTGAGTCAGTTTTCCTATATGGTACTAGGACTGGATCTTAGTTTAATTAATTAATTAATTTTGCATATGGATATCTGGTTGTTCTAGCACCATTTTTTGAAAAGACATTCTTTACTGAATTATCTTTGCACCTTTGTGAAAAGGTGTATAAAATTGGGTATTGGGTATTATAAAAATTATTTTACTGTACCTACTACAATAATCCCTGATTTTTTTTATGGATAGTTCCTATTGCTGTGCCTTCAAGTTCACTGATTTTTTTTCTTCAGTGTCAAACTCTTAATCCCATCCAGTGTATTGTTCCTTTCAGACATTTTCATCTCCAGAAGTTTGATTTGGGTCTTTTAAAAAAATGTGTTTTTCATGTCCTCACTTAATTTTTTTAGTACATGATTAAAGGTACAATAACAGTTTTAATATACTTCTCTGCTAATTCTAACATCTATATCAGTTTGGGATTGATTTTTCTCATATGGATCACACATGCCTTGCTATCTTTGTATATTTTACCTTATTGGGTGCTGGATATTTTTGTATTCCTGTAAGTATTTTTGAATTTTTTCTGGAAGTCATTTATAGTTTGGTCCTTTTAGGTCTTGCTTTTTAAGATTCAGTAGATGAGACTAGAGCAACATTTAGTCAAAGGCTAATAAAACCTTCTGAGTACACCACCCAAAGATCCATGAAAAATGAGGCTTTCCAGGTTGGCTGGTTGGAATAAGCACTAT